GATTTTATTCTAGGTTTCTACAAATCTAGTCCAAAACCTTAGCTTTCATCTGGTATACAGCTTATGTCTGGGAAAACTCTTGTTGTGGAGATATTGCGATTCAAATTGAAAAAATGCCGCTCCAAAAAGGGTCAAATGGTTAAAAATTAACATATCCATCTAATTTGGTTATTTTAAGATATAAAAATAACTTACCCAGTTTCCCAAAAAAATTGCCCATTCCCCGATTGCTACTTAAACCGAATTTCCCTGAAAATCGGGGAATTTTCCGCGAGTTGACAAAGTGAATGATGCAGCTGTGCTAATCACTTCCTAAATGTCTTGGAAACCACAATTTGTGTGTATTTTAGAGCACTTAACCTACCTGGGAAGACGCGTACAATATTACCTATAGTTGTACATAAATATGTATGTATGAGTGCATTTAGTTCACCCAGTGTGCCGTTTAGTAAACTTCTTAAAAAGAGCACATGTATGCGCCCCACACCCGGTAGAAATCTTAACAAAAATAAACTACGAGACTATCATACGAATATAGTTGTATATTGTATCCATAGTTGGTACCAAGTTGATAAGTTTTTATCATTTCTTATATTTTTAATTTTTAATTTTTTCGAATACAAAAAAAATTCGAAAAATTATGTGTTTCAATGGACACATCGATTTGAATATATAATTTAGATTTAGATAACATTTTTAGCAATTTATTTGAGAAAAATAAAACATTTAGATTATTGTTTGTATTTTGGTCGATTTTAAATTTGCTACCCCAAAATAATTGATATCAAATAAAACACCTCTTTGAGGTAAAAGTTTCGAGTGACGAAAGCTGAACTAGAAACACAAAATTTATGGTATCAATTTCGTGACGAAAATTATACGCATTTTTTTTACTGCCTTTGAAACGTACGGAAAATCTATTTTTATTTATTCGGATCGTTGCGATTTCTGCTAGAAACACAAAGTAAAAAACAGAACTTATGCAACGATTCGTATGAATAAAAAAGATTTTCCGTACGTTTCAAAGGCAGTCAAAAAATGAGTATAATTTTCGTCACGAAATTGATATCATAAATTTTGTGTTTCTAGTTCAGCTTTCGTCACTCGAAACTTTTACCTCAAAGAGGTGTTTTATTTGATTTAAATTACTCTGTATATATGTATGTATGTTTCTTAGGAGCAAATCTTGCAATCAAATTTTGACCAACATTCCGATGACCTACAGACTTGAAACTTCACAGTTGGCTCAGAACCCGATGACAATAGTTGTGTTTTTTTTACAAATTATCCAGTAACTTGCCAGCAACTCTCCAGTAACTTTATTTCTAAGAATTCGCTCTCATAGAAAAAATTTGCAAAAAAGTACGTGAACGCTTTTCCAGTAATAATTTGCAAGTTTCATGAACAGCTGATAAATTGGTTGTTTATTCGCAGCAAATTCCTAATAAAACAATATATTTTATATTTAAATATGTTTATTTTGTGAATTTCCACAATAAAAAGCCACAAACAGTTTCCTTATTAGTTTAAATTTCATCCAGCAACATGCGATCAGCTGTTTTTCGTACTGGCAAATTCTTACAAGTAAAAATTTATCCAGTAAAATCCAGTAAAAACTTGCAACTTCAACTGTAATTTTTCGCTCTCTCAATTTCCCCTACCTTGCAAGTTTTTGCGTACGAAAACGCCAAAACATGAAAATTCGTAAAAACTTTTACTGCAAATGAGTAAAAAAACGCAACTAATGTAATACGAAATAACGAATACGTTAATCCGATAGGTGGCGCAGGAGTTGAGTTATTTGAAAACCCCGTATTTATAGTCCAATTTGGTTCATATTTAGAAAGCTTGCTTTAAAAATATTTGTTTTTACTATTAGCTTATTTTAGATTTATGTTAGTAATAATTGAAAACCACCATTAATTGTACACGGGAAATATTAAGCAGAAAATTGGAATATGAACACGTGTGTTGTATGGTTTAATGTACCTAACATAATTTTTTGGGAAATAAATCATAATTAGTGTCAACAATACAAAAGATAACGGCACATCTAAATTGTAAACCACATCTGTGTTTGTGCTTGCATTTTACAATAGTTTTAACATATTTACAGAAAGTTTCGAGCGGAAAATTATTTAACTACTCAATTAAAATGTTATTATTGCTAATTTGCAATAACACATGCACACATACATATATATACATATGTATAAATAAAAATAAAAAACATACGTGACCTTACGCAATAGTGTATCAAATTACGGAAAGTATAACTATGAAAAGCGTTCAAAATCAAATATTTTACAATGCGAATGTATTCAAAAAGGCACCTATGTAAGGTACAAACAACAATGGAAGATGACCCAAAAGGTGTAACAAAAACTCTTTTGAAAAAAAGAGAACAATAGTTGTAGGTACTGAATATAGGTATTAACATGTGTATATGTTTTTTATATATTCGACTAACCGAAAAAAGTATGTAACTAGAAGAAAAACAGCAAATGAAAGTGAGAAGGAAAGCGAGTTGCAATTGAAAGTAAAATTGGCGAAAATTTGTTACAATTTCTTGTTGCGCATCAAAGCAGGCGGAGACGAAAGTGTTTTGTGTTGTTGCCACTGGTGTGTAGCGGCAATGCTGTTGCTTCAGGCGTTTGCGGTTTTGATAACTATGATGACCAGTGTTGCCACAAAGATTTTTAATTTGTTACCAAAACTCTAAAAAAAATTACCCAACTCAGAAAAAAATTACCAAATTTTTATAAGCATAGTAGTCTAAACAAATTGAAAATGACGAGCTATGGACCACATCTGCAAAATTATTTTTCCACGTATTCTTATGTAGACAATTATTTTGGCGACGACAGAACTACACCACGACTGGGGTTGTGGCCAGCTTAGATATATTTACATTTTTCGAGCGACAGATGAGTTCCTCCGCGTTCAAAAAATTCATATCACCATCGACAGAGCATTTAAATAATGAAGATGAACAATTTACAGCTGCGGTCGTCCTTTTCAATGTGTTCAAACTATAACAATTCACAAATATTTTTAAAACACAACACAAAAAAAGCGCTCAGAGATTTACAAACATTTAAAAGATGTTTAACATACAGTCTTTTACATAAAGTATTTATGTAACTTAAAACCAAAAAATTAATTAAAACATGAAACCAGCAAATGTATCGTCAAACGATAGATGAAATTTACTTTTACAATTTTATAATTGGCTCACATTCGTATTTAATTGCAAAATTGTAATTAGTCCTGTAAAGTTATTTTCTTTCACAATTGGTTCCAGCAGGTAAAAATGATCCAAAACCCTGATTTGTGTGACTGTAGGGGCTGTGACCGAGCCGCCATATTGGGAAAAATTGGTGGTTTCTTTAAATTGCTATATTGCGAACATATATTAAAACCCTTATTCTAGAACCCGAATTTTCGTAATTCCTAGTTTGTTGCTACGTTACGAAAAACGCAAAATCGACATGCTGCAACCCTGGCGGAAAATTGAGCAGCATTGCCAGCTATCAGTAGATTTTCGAAGACAGCTAAATGAAGGAAAACAGAATACTCATCATTTCCATATTAAAATTATGGATTCTGATGCATTTGCAATTATAGCAGCAGAGTAAGAGCGCGCTATGGCAATGGATTCACAAAGGTCTGCGGAGCTGTCGGGCATAGTAACCATGGACACATCTATGTCAGCTTCGGGTTGAATTCTTGAGCCACAAGCTATAACTCCTCCTATGCCTGAAGAAGGTGTTCTCAATCCAGTTAATGCAATACCAGCTTCTTCCAAGCCATTGAAAGTATGCAGCTGGTCAAGCTTGCTTCTTCCTTCGGCTACGCTTAGGGATTACAAGCCTTACTAGTGAGAATTCTCTTTTTTTTGTTGCCGGAGAAGAGGGCGGAAGCCCCTCTTCTACTGTGAAAGGTGTACAAAAGTGCTGCGGAATAGGGGTGTAAAAGTTCTGTGTTGTCAAGTCAAATTTTTACGTTAAAGAGCTCTTTCAATTTTTGGGTGTCTTAAGATGCAAATTTTTTGTTTTGTGCATTTGTAAGAAGGTTCAAAGATCTAAATTTTTATAAGTAATAAGTTAGTATTAAAACCTTAAGAGAAAAGACTTACGTAGGAATTACCAGTTTTGGTAAAAAATTACCAAAACGGCAACGCTGATAATGACGCGCTGCTAGCAGTTGGTACCGGCGCACACATTGACACAAAACAGCGGCCCACCACGCCAAACATAATATGTAGTATACACACACTTAAATAAGTACGGACATGGATGGATATTTACAACGTGTTTAATATTGCATCTGTTATTTTGAATTTATATATTTATGTATATTTGTATGTATGTATGTATGTACATATATTTGACTTTAAAATTTGCAGTTTTTCATAACGAACACGTTTCTATGGGTATTTGAAGTTAAGTTTAAACGAAGAACAAAAACGCGAAAAATATCTTAGAGTTGAATTGGTTGTGAAGGGCGATTGGTACATGCCACACAATGGGGCATAATTAGCAATGCCTGAAAAATTTTGAAACTTTTAATCTGTGTGCGTAATTTGTATGTTGCAAGGGCCCGCAGTGATGTTAATTTTCAAGATACGCAATTATTTGTAGCCATGCATATAATATGCTTAAGTGTGTATGTAGTGCGTATGTATGTACATATATATGTACATACACATGTAACAGTGTCGACTTGTGATTTCGTATTCTTTGGCTATTGTATTTGTTGTGTAAGAAATATGTAATGCAGGCACAAGTGCAGCAGCGAACAGCGTATTTTGCTACGAATAATTTGCATTTTCACAGCTGGTTTGAAGGCCGTTTCGGTAATCAAGCGGGCGGGCGAAAGGAATGCAAATTTGCCTATTGTGTCATTTGGTAGGTTTCGCAAGATTTCATCGCTTCTCGGTTGTTTGTTTCTTGTTTTGATTCGTTGTGTTGGATGCAAAGTTTTGTTTTTCAACTTACCTGAAATTTTTTTCAAATTAGCAGCACCCTTTTGTAGATACGGTATGAGTATTTCAAATCCAAGTTCGCTACTTCAGTCTTTCGTTGCTACTGCTGGTATTGCTTGCTTTTCTCGTAAATCCCTTCCTGTTGTTGCTTTTAACAGCTATTCGTTTCACTTGACTGGTTATTGCACTGTGTTTTTGTAGTTTTGTGAGAATTTTATTTAACACTTCTCCACACTGTTAGCAAGCATTTTTCTGTTTTTTTCTTTATATTAACGATTTTATTAAATTGTATTACTACGCATAAAACCATTTTTAAAATAAAAAATATAAATATAATAACATAGCATTAAAAACTTGAACACGCATCATTTGATATTGTTATGCACAAAAATCTATATTTTATCATAAAGATATTTATATACACAAACACATGTATGTATCTTCAAATATATGCTTGAATGCATACATATATATATACATATATAGTCTAGTTATAAACCACACAAGCAAAAATCCGCGGCAGAAATATGTGTTCAGTGGAAAAAAAGCTTTGGAACATATGAAGAGAGTCAATAAAAGAAATGAGAAAACCACAACGAAATGCACTTATGCATACAAATGCAAAAGTAAGCGCATGATCGGATAAAGTTTCGCATGCAAGCAACAGCAGCGTTTGAATAAGAAACTAAAACTCCAAAGCACGCCCTTGTTTCAGATCGCACTGCTTTAAATATGTATGTACAATGTACATATATCGTCGATGTTTTTGCAAAACCGCCCATCGACCAGTTGCAAAATCCTAAAGCCTAAATCGCTGTTGTGGCAAAAATGAGATTTGATAACCCTGAACTCCTGAGATCTATGCATAAAAATCTTAAAATCGTAAACCAGAGATTTGGTAAATAATAGCTATATAAAATACATCCTGTCAACGAAATGCCTTCAAAGAAAACCCTGTAAAATTTGGGTGTCGCAAGATGGGCGGTTTTGCAAAAACATCGACGATATGTATGTACATATGAACACATTCGTACGTATGTATATATAAATATATATATATATATATAAGTACGTAGAGTATCTGTACATTTGTAGTTGGTGGCTTAGCTTTTGCTATAAATGCTTGTACATATGTACGTTTGCTGTGCTTGTGTGCGTACGTAGACACTTATCTTGTTGCATATTGCACTGCAGCTGTAAAGTGCAAGCAAAAGGTAAAAAAACACAAAAAATTGCATACACTACTACGATAAATAGTTTTAACATATATAGACCGTATTTTTATTGTTGTGTCTTTCCTAATTTTCACCAACTTTTTAATATCTTTGTGCTATCTTTACATTAACTTAATTTTTGCTCAATTTATTCATTTCACTTGGTATTCGAAAAAAAACATTCAAAATTACTGGCAGTGGAAAATATGCAATTGGCATTACGAAATTCGTTAAAGGTAAAATTTTCAAAACACATAATTTTTAAATTTATTTAAACAATTATATTAGATTTCCGGAAACGCGTACAAATTTACTACATTTTTTCACAATTTTTTCAACATTTATGTATGTACATATGTATCGCAACTAAGGAAACAAATAAGTTTGTATGTATTTACTCATTTCTTGTTAAGCAATTCACTGGAAACCTAAACACGGCTCAAATAATGTGTACCGTACGCAGTGCTGCTCAAACGCAGACTAAATTGGCCAACAATTGGCCAACTGCCATTTGGCTTGAAAAAATGTTCAGTTGCTTATTATTACCGCCGCTATTGGAAGTTGCTGACACCGAATATCAATGGAGCAAAATTGACTGCTTCCATGCAAATTGATTGGAATTGTTAAGTGCAGCTGATCGCGAGTTAAGTTGAGGTGCGCTGAAATAAGCTACGCATGCGCTGTTTTTAAAATAAATTTCAGCCATAAAAGCGTACAACATTTTTGTCAGCAAATGTAGCTTTTTCTCTAAGCTCTCGCCATATTGGTTGACTTCCTCTCCCAACTAGTTATTAAGCGGTTTTGGTGGTGATTTTGTGTAAGTGCAGCAGTCTGACTTTAGTTTATTTTTATTTTGTATTTCCCTCCGCTGTGTCTCCCATTTTATGCTATTTTCTACTGAAATTACTATTTATTATCATTGATTTAGCCGGAGATAGAGTGGAATCTCAAGCAAATGATATTTTATTTACAAATCTGATATTGTCAACGGAAGAACATTTCAATGTACACACACAAGCAATATCGACTCCACGTTGAATGGTAAATGCTGCATTATTGCTGTGTTTTTACAAATTACTAGCAGACCCGGCGACCTTCCTCCCAATTTTATTTATTTTTATTGAAATATTTGGTCCAACGTTTCCACCGCAACTCACGGTCATGTTTGGTTTTTGGGTCGTCAGAAAGCATATCCTACATTAATATTAGTGTTGGTCAGTATCGATACCAAAAGTACTCAGAACTCGATTCTCAGAAGGATCGACAGCACCCGATTTTTAAAAGTATCGATACTGAGTACTCCAACGAACTCAGTACTCACAAAAGAACTCGAAAGTACTCAGTACCTAAAAAAGAAACTCGAAAGTACTCAGTACTAAAAAATACCCTGTTCCAATAATCGCTTTGATACATGTACTCAGGATCAGTTCAGAGTACTCAGTATTAAGTGTCAAATAGACTTAAAAAGTACTGAGTTTTATTTGCATTTAACGGTATTCAGAGATGATTGTACCCAATTTGCAGTTTAATAATTTTGAAGTTACAGTTAGCAACTCATTTGACGTACATAACTTGGGATTCGTATATTAATTTAAATAAAATTTTACTAGCTTGTGAGATTTCTACACTAAGGGCCGTTTTCTAATGTAAGCAGTAAAGTTGCCTTTACTAACAGGGCAGTTAAATTGTTCCTCAATTTAAAGTGTTTTCGTTTTCTTATCTTACGGGTAAAAATAAATTTGTTATTCCGTAATTACGGCAGCACAAGAGTGAAACTTCACTACATTCGTCATAAAATTTCAAATGTTGGAAATGCAATATAATCAAATATAGAGCACGAGCAACTGTTAGCAAAAACCAAAACCTTGGTTGAAATATCTAATATAAGTATCAGACTCATGAACAAAAACCAAACCAAAATTTTAAGTTGGGTACAAACTTTTAAAGGTTGCATCGGGTGTGCAAAAATTTATCGATTCGAGAAATTAATGCGCTGTAGAGAAAACAAAAACTCGTATATCGAGACGATAAAGTGGCCACTAATCTAAAGGATAGATGAGAAAACGGCCCTAAGAATGGAAATGTTACCAACATGTGTATATTTAAAGAAAGTACTCAGTACTCTGAAAAATACCCGATCCTTAAAAGTATAGATACCAAAGAACTCGATCCTCAAAAGTACTCGATACTTCCCAACACTAATTAATATATACTTGTACAGCCCAGCGGTCGGAGTTCGAGTTCATTCAATATTTTTTTTATCTTGCTCGTGACATTTTTTAGGTCCATCAGCACCTGTTGTTCGTCTAGGTCACTAATATTGTTAGGTGGAGTAATATACATTCTGTTAAATAATTTAGTAATTCATAGGAACAGAAGGGAGAATTAGATTTGTATGGGAATTATATTATTATATTATCACACTGTTCCTAAATTAGTTAAAAGTTCACTGAAAGGTACGACGAAAATTGAAAATGCAACTTTGTTCGTTATCACCTACGTAACCTAAATCCAATTTCACTAAAATCAGCTTATTTTTGCGAAATATTGACATTCAAGAATTGCAAAATTATAAAAATTTCAGAAAAAACTTTTGTTCTCATATTTTTTTTATAATATATATAAGAAGACATGTGCTACTAAACAAGGATTATGATGGTATAATTTTAAGTCCCTAATTTACTGGGGTATAGTCGTTGCGCTGGGTATGTAGTTACAGTTGCATGGCTATACTCAATCCCGACTCTTGCGTCCTCGTTCGCGCACTCTGGGCAAAGTGAGCAACCCATGTGCGAGATGCGGTAACCAATCCGAGTGGAGCCTTGGGTCACGGCAGAAAGAGAGGGAGCTTCGGTGGGGCCACTCCGACTTATTCGGTTTAAGGGCTTACTGATGTCTGTAGCGTCTGTTCACCAGTAGGTTCGGCTGCAAGCGGGTGACTGCTTGGAGCAAGCGTCTCGCTATATAAACGTGTATTCGGTTGCGAAACCACCCCCGTCCCAGCAATGTGTTGTGCACTGGGCTTGGGAACCGCCACGTAAAAACCACTTCCAGTGAAAAAGCAAGGCAAAGCCTCGGATGAGACCCCCCTTATGATGACGTTTAAAGGACTACGACGAAGGGAATGCACCTGGAATGTCCGGACCCTTAATGGAAAAGGTGCCTCTGCCCGGCTGGTTGATGTCCCCGTAAGGACAAAAGCTGGCATCACCGCCATCCAAGAAATGCGTTGCGGGAAGGGGACTTGTTCTCTTGCGAGTGTCCGGATTTTTTCCTTCGACTCATCTGGTAACCCTATATATAACATAAATATATGTATAAATATTTTGTTTTTATGTTTTGTTTCTTGGCAACCAAGTAAAATGAATTAACTTAGACATCAGGATGTTTAAATCAATCTTAATTCTTTTATTAAACGTAATTTTAAATTAAAAAATGCAGCGTGTAAAAATATTACCTGAATTTAGGGCAAAGAAACCTGAGGCGCCAGTAAGCTTAAGTCTTCCTCCTCACGTGCTCTTGCATCCAACATGCAAAATTGCCAATTGGAATTAATAACTAGTTTATGTATGTATATGCACTTCACATTTGGCTGTTAAGTAGTTGGCGTTAATTTGGCAATTGTTAGCCCTTTAGCCCTCCAACCCAATGACATAACATACAGGTGTAAGCAATATACCTATTATGATTTAACAGTTCAACAATTGAACAGTAGCTGCTCCACTGATGTGAACAGGCGGCTGCCCTGACTAGGGTTCAAAATAAAATTAATCACTTTTCCAAATTGAAATTTTTAATCGAATCATGAATTATTGCGCTGACTGTGCTCCATACATTTGTATGTGTGTATAACCGAACCCAAATTCAGCTTAACAAAAACACTAGCCTTCTAGTCGATTGAGGTTACGTTAAAATTTCGTTTGTTTTTATTTACTTAAAATTAATTTCCAATACCGGGACAGTTTTGTTTTTGTTATGAATTGAGTGTTTTGTTGATTCTTATTTCGAGCTTCCGGTTTTAGTGTACCTCTGGTTTGCCTGACAACGCTTTTTTCTTGCTGATAGTACTAGGCATTTCCTCCTATACAAACGAAATTATCAAGCGCACTTTGTATTGTTTTTGTATACATAATAGGTCCATTCCCTATCTTTTCTGACTAAACTCTGAAAAGTGTCAAAATGCAAGAGCGTAAGCAAATGCGATCACTAAAAGAGTATAACAGGAAAATAGTAAAGCAACATCAAAACTAATGTCAAATAAGAATAGAAATGTATGTACAAAACACATTAACTCAAGCACGAAAAACAATTACTATATCTATCAATTATTTTTTGACTCCTTCCATTTCAAACTTTTTTTTTTAGTTTTCAGATTCGTGTATTCTTTAATTTCCGTTAATTTAAATTCAGTTGAGTTTGACGTTTTTCAATATTTTGACAGCAAAAATTCTTCTGACTAAATCTGGCTACTTCGAACTATTTCTGGGAGATAAGGAACGCAACTAATATGCGTTTTGTTGAATCTTTCTTTCGAAACTAACAATAAGTTTTAAAACCCTACAAACTACCATTAAATTTAAAATTTTTGCCGCAATGCTTAGATTATTATTTTTTACATACATATATATGTTTATTGCGGTTGTTGCGACTGTCGGAATGGACAAGATTCTGAGCAGCAGGATCGTGGATATCGTGCTGGAAGGTGTCTGAAGGGACGAGTTCCAGAGCCGCATTACCTAGGCGAGTGTAAAGGACTAGTGTCCACGTCCCCCCTTCACTTCTCTATATTTAAGTAATTACAATCCAGTAGGCTGTGTTCGGTCGGAGAGGACAAGTTTCCGAGCCGCACCGACACTGGTGTTGGGAAAGGACGAGTTTCAGAGCCGAAATTGATATATTGCGGATATCGAAATTTATTATATTGCGCGTCATTTGATAATGTCGGAAAAATCCTTTGCTTTTAGTCTTCTTGCATATCTCGGGCTAAGAACATCTCTCGCTAGTCGATTTGGATGGTTCATTAACCTTGCTGAGTAACTGGTGCTTAGCCCTTGCATGTCCTCATGCACCGTATTTACATTAAGATCTTTGTGGATATTCGTATGGCGCGTAAAATTTTCGACTGCAGTCTTTGAAGTATGTGCTCCAAAGCCCGATTCCAAATGCCCAAAATGGTTTAGTCATCATATTAAAAATCAACATCTTATTTTCTAGATTTTTTTTTAATTTAGATTTGTGTTCTATAACCCATTGAAGGCTTGCTTGTTTGAGTTTCGCTTGAGTAATTTTGTTTTCTGTAGATGCTTTTTCCAGGTAAGTCTTCTATCTAGTGTCATCCCAAGGTACTTTACACTATCTTTTTGTGGTATAGCCCCGCTGTTTATTTTTCTTCAAAGTAAAGTAAAGAATTCCATGGGCTACTAAGCTGCATACCCAGAGTCTTTCTAGGAAATCTAATTAAAAAAGTTAGAAATTTTCATGAAAGTTTGTTGAATTGTTGAAAAAAAACATAACCAAAATTAAGCAACAACAAAAATAAT